CAGAAATTATTATGACACAGGAAGAGTATAGCGCACACCCTTGAAAAGCATTATTCAAAGGGTCTGGGGATACAGAGGCGGAGTTCACTTCTGCTTGAAGGTATCACAGAAGATTTCATGGGAAGAGTTGTGTCTGAACTGAGCTATAGAAAGGCATTGGGTGAACAAAATACCGGGACAGAAATCTCTGGTGTGTGTGGGATGAGTTTTCCAGTATATGGCTAGAGCTGCTGGGATCACGAGCAATATAGGACTGTGCAACCCAGGATTATGTCCTTTGATGGACAGGACACCTTTCTACAGGTAGACGGTGAAATTGAGGAAGCCCCATACTTTCAGATTACACACTGAGGAGGCAAGGCTTTATGACTGAGGATCTTCACCTGGAAATGGGAAGAGTAAAGTCAGCCTTACTGCTTTAGGCATTTTTAGTCTGGAGAGAATGAAGGACCAGGACTTTCGCTCAAAGAGCAAATGGGGCTTGGATACATGGCACAGTTCTAGAAAGAGAATGGGAACAGAAGAGAGGAAGAGGTCTGGAGGTCAGGTCACCTTAGCATACATTGCTGAGTGCCTCTCCCTTGTTCATCTAAATGCCATTTTACTCTCCCCTGCAGGCAGGAGAGGCCTATGACAGGTATTCTAGGAAACTTTTTGCCTTCCTGATAAAAATGTGCAGATATTTCTGGCATTGATTTTTTCATCTTCTTCTTGCCTTGTTTTCTTTCTCTTCCAGGGCCTGGAGCTAAAGCCATTATTTTTCAAGTACCAAGGAAGAGCCAAGAAAATTGCAGAGATGCTTGCATGGATATGGCTGAGCTTTTAAACAAAGACCTCTAACTTCTTGGCCTGGGAAAGGAAAAATACCTGTTTGTCCTAGATTCTACTTTGCTGTTACTTGCTGAAACTTTCCTGAATTTGTTAATGATGGACTTCATGATTGTGAGGATAGAAAAGAAATTCCCAGTGTTATGATTGAAATATGATTTATGCGCTGATGGTTTGCTCTCCAATGCAGAAGTGTTGAGAGGTGGGGCCTACATATATGCTTAGATGATGATGGCATGAACCTCACTGATAAATTCATGGTTGGATAGGCTATTAGGAGGTAGGGCCCACTCAGATCAAGCAGGTCACTAGGGGTATGTCTTTTAGGGACACATTGTCCCTGGACCTTGTGCTTTGAACTTTTCCTTCTTTCTTTCTTCTCTACTGCCACGAGGTGAGCAATTTCCTTCTACTATGCTCTGCACCGTGATGTTTCTGTCTTGCCACATGTCTAGGAACAGTGGTGCCTGCTGACCATGCAGTGAAACCTTGAATCCAAACAAATATTTCCTCCTCTCCATTGTTTTCCTCAGGTGTTTGGTGACAGTGACCAAAAGCTAACATACTCAGGTTCCATCCTTATCCAATCATCTCCATTTACAGACTCAGAATAACATATTGCCTTACCATGAAGGTGGTACCATTGGCTACAGCTTCGCAGATGCCTTTTTCCTTAGAAATCTGTGTGTCAGGCAAAGGCTACAATGATAAAACTTGACAGTGGTCAAAATCAATAGCTGTAGCAGGAGCAAATCAATATATAATTTTCCAAGGCTACTGATAACTAAGAGGCACTGATTAATGACATTTGAGAGAATGGAATGAAGGGTAGTCTTGCCATTAAATGACAATAGGATAAAGTTGACTTGCTAACAAAAATGAGCACTTGTTGTATAGTTCCTATATGTATATTACAGTTTCCTAAATTCTTTACATTAAGTTATAAAGATTGACCAAATTGGGAAGCATGCTTTATCTTTCTTAGGTTGATATAAATTTTCCTGTACTATAAGGTTAAAGAAATAATGTCTGAGCCTAAAGCACATGCTTTTTCTTTTTAAACTGGATTTGAATTTTAATGTTACAAAGTATATTTTTTTTGTTTATGTCATTATGCATTTTAATCAAGTTTGGACTAGATGAAGCATATATAAATAATTTAAAAACCTACATAGAAGTTTATGGTAACAGACATGGTAGCAAGATTAAGATTTAATCACTTAGTCTGATGCTGTGCAATGTAACAGTCATCAGTCACTTGCATTAATTTGAAATTAAATATTAAAAATCACTTTCTCAGTGGTACTAGCCACATTTAAGGTGCTTGCTAGCTGCTACTGGCTACTAGGTTGGATAGAACATATCTAGAACATTTTCATTATTGTAGAAAGTTCTTTTTTTTTTTTTTTTTTTTGCGGAACTGGGGATTGAACTCACGCCCTCGTGCCTGCCAGGGAAGCGCTTATTCCACTGAGACATCTCCCCGGCCCCTTGTAGAAAGTTCTTGTCTCAGTTACTTTTCTCTTGTTGCTGAGACCAAACACCTGACATCCAAAATGAAGGAAGGAAAGGTTTATTTAGCTCACAGCTGGTGGAGCTTTCAGTCCACACTTGGCTGGGTCCAAGGCAGAGTGGCACATGGCAGAGGGCAGCTATTCATGGTGGAGGAAAATAGCAAAGAGCAAAGGAAGGAGCAGCAGCTGTGGCAGCTAGCCAACCTCTTTCCCCTCCATACATATGTATGCAGATTATCTGCACCAGGACAGAGCAGCACTCACACCCATAATACCAGCATTGGATCATGAATTAATCACAAACTCTAGAAGCCACCACATTGACTGCATAGGCTTTAGGGGACAACCAAACACAAACCATCACAGTTCTTTTAGGTAGACTGACCTAGACAACTCAGGTTTGTAAGACTTTTTATTTAAATACTATAAATATACAGGAGCAAGGGGTGTAGCTCAGAGGTATAGAGCTTCCCTACCATGCTTGAGGCTCTGGGTTTGATTTCCCAGCACTGAAAAACAAACAATGGCCCCTACCCTAATAAATAGAAAATAAAACTTAAAAACAAAGTAGGATGAGGTGAAGTTGAAAAATAGATTAGGGCCAGCTGTTGAGGTACTGTACTACGAGCTACACTTAGCAGTTGAAACTTAATCTTGAAGCAGAGAAGCAGCCACAACTATTTTAAGGCAGGAGTTAACATGACTGAAAATTGCCTTTTAGAAACAATACCTGATTAATTGTATGGAGGATGGGTTCAAGTTGGAGCTGGGTTGGGAGAATGGAGGCAAGAAACCATGCTAGTGTTTTCTCCAGTTTCCTTAAAACTTAATGGAGAGTTGAGAACACTGTCCAGCTTCTGGATTCTACAGGCTGAGGATGAGGGCACCACATCTGTCTACCTTAGAAGTGGGGCAGTTAAGTACCTAAGAGCAGGGTATTGATAGAATGTTCTGAGTTAAGTTTTGACTCCATCCCTTAAATTGTTGACCTAGGGCTTGAGTAATGTAATGTTGAGAAACACATTTAACATGGAGTGTATTTCATGCCTCTGCTTAGTACTCAAAATATTGTCATCATTACTAACTGCTGGGATAAGTTGTGCAGTAATAGATGAGTAATACAAGATAAAAAAGACGGGTGTGTAGAGATAAAGGACAGCAGTTATTAACACATGAGATGCCTTCATTTACGATTTCAGTCGTGAAGTTACAGTGCTCATCTGCCCTTTATAAATGTCATAAAGGTCAGATTCACAAAGGTGAGGTCAAGGAGCCGAGAGACCAGGATATTGGATAAGCTAGGATCATAAGTACTGAAGTTACTTAGGATCACTAGGTAGAGGAATGTGCACCAGGTTTCAACAATTTTACAGAATACCAGCATAGATGAGCAGAGCAGACAGCCTCAAGCTGGTGAACAGTGATATAATCAGATGAAGTGGGTCTCCCCGCCTTTTTTTTTTTTTTAAGAGGGTGGCAAATTCATAATTTTGAAGGTACTGGCGAGCTAGGAAAATACTGACTCCAGAACTTTTTTTTAAATTTTATTTTAGGGAAGGGTCTATAGGGTGTTCAGCGTCTCACTACTAGATCAGCCTCGTAGCCTCCCAAGAGCTGAGATTACAGGTACCCAGTCTCAATTGCCATCTCAGCGCTCCCCCTGGGGGGGGGGGCGGCACAGCAGGCCCGGGGATCAAACCCCTGGCCCCTGTGCCTGCTTGCAGGAGCTTTAATCAGCTGAGCTATTTGGTCAGACCCCTGACCCCAGATCTTGGCCCTGGATTATGCGAAATTCAGGAGAACAGGCAAGAACTCAAAAGAGCTAGAGGGAAGTGGTATGATCAGCGCAGATAGGCTTCACACGAAATGATAACACATGTAAGGCCCCTGGGTATTTGTAGGCCCGGCTCTCTCATCCCTTCCAGGATCTCTTAAAGCTGGGGCTGGGTCTAGGAGAAGAGGGAAGGTTGGAGATGCAAAAGACACTCGGTCAGGGGCAGCCTCCTCCTGGCTCAGGGAGCGAGCATTCTGAGGCATTTCCTAACCTCCTGTGGAGAAGCGGGGGAGAAGACAAGGAAGGAAGTCGCTCTTCTTCACCTACAGCACTCCTCATGCTTCCAATGGAACTTTATTCCTTCCGTCCACAAACATTAGTGGAGAGCCTCACAAGCGCTAAAACCCAGCGACACTAACCCTAGATGCGTGCAAGGCGCTCCAGACCACAGGCACCGTGCCGCTCGCCGAGCGTCCCGGGTCGGCGCCAACAGCCGCGTTTTCACAAGGCTCGACTTTTCCAAGTTCCTTCCACACTTTTAGCTGAGGCGAAACGTTGGAAGTCGGCGTGCAGCTGGTACTGATTCTTCCAGGACTTGGCTCTAGAGTCTCGCCCTTCGCAGTTCACACTTCGCAGTCCGGTGCACCCACGAGAAACACCTACGCGTTCTTGGGTTCCCGCAGCGAGAGGGGCGGGGCGGGCTAGGGGGCGGGGCGATCGAGGGGCGGGGCGATCGAGGGCGGGGTCAGGCGGCAGGGCAAGATGCGCCCGCCTTCGGGGCTCCCAGCGCCCCCCGCGCCCTACGGCCAGATGCTGACGTGTCCTTTGCTTCCCACTACACCTCCCGACACCACCTACTCGGGCTGCCCCGGAAGTCCCGCCCCATACTTATTCCGTCACCGCAAATCAGCTTTTTCAGCGCTTCCTGGAACTCACCGCCCCTGCGGGTACTAAGGGGCGGGGCTCCGCGAGCAGGGTGCCTATTGGCTTGGAGTCCGGCCGGCTCTGGGCGCTAATTGGCCGGAGGACGGTGGCGCTCTGGCACGCTTGCGCGGCGAGTAGAACGTGTGGCGGCGGCGGAGATCGCGTCTCCTCTTTTGCTCCCAGTCCCGCTGCTGCTTCAGTGTGCGATCAGCTTGTTCGTCCCGTGCGTCGTCCGCAGCTGGTCTCCCGCCTGCCTCTCCTCTCGGCGACCTCTCCCCGACGCAGAAATCCATACTGACATCTCCAGTGGGCCGGCCGTTCCACTCGCTGCCTTTTCAGCTCCACACATGGCCTCCTCCGCACAGAGCGGCGGCTCCGGGGGACCCGCGGTCCCCATCGTGCAGCGGGGCATCGTCAAGATGGTGAGAGCGGGGCCCGGGACTCGGACCCCTCTACTGCCTTCAAGCGGGAGTCAGGCATTGACTCCTTTGCCCCTCCCGCCAGCTTGCATGGTCTTCCAGATCCCGTTTCCTTTGCCCCCTTCCTGACTTTCTACCCATCCTCGGAATCTCCTCACTGGACGGATCCCGACACAAACTCCTCTTCATCTCTGCCTCCCCTCCACGCTGACATCGGGGATGACAGTGGCTTTCGTGTCCACAGCTTTCAGATCTACTGGCCGTTTAGCAGGGCAGATAGATTACTGATTTTGTTAACGGAGATGGTTCGTGGCTAGATTCCCCTGTCTCCCTCTTTCTGTACATTTTGACACGTGCTGAGTACTTTACAGTTTTGCTGGAATCTGACCTCCCTTCCCTGGAACCCTAGGAGCTTTCCTGTTTCCGCGAACGCTCAGTTAAGTTTTCTAACTCTTTGGTCATTTTTTCTATCCATTTCTCCCCATCTCTGTGTGAGACTGAAGGCTTGAGAACTAATTTTTGTAAACTTCTGACTCTTAAATTTTTAAGGAGGCAGGAATCTTAATCACTATCATTGCCCACTCCCTGAGGATGGGGAGATACTTTGAAAGACAGCAAGTGACTTGCCTAAGGGCACATGGCCGCTTGGGTTGGAGCCAGGAACCAAGCCATGTTTTGATTTTCAGTCCCGGGATCTTAACACTTTAGATTCTAACCGATTTTGTATGCTTTTACTTTCAGCATTCTTAAAATTTGAGTTTAACTACAAGGTTCACATCTAGTTCCATATTAATTTTTAATTAAATCTTATCTGCCCCCTGGATTGTCCTTTTCTTTCCCCTCTCAAATTTTGGAACCTGCTATTTCTTGGTTACCAGATTTTCTGGTTGTAAGTTAGACTGCGGTTCTGATTTTTCCATCAGGAATGACAAATACCTTTTATATTTTTCTCATAGAGCTCCCAGGTTTTTGTACTGTTGTGGAAAGTTTTAAAAAATTCTGTATTGTCTCATTGACTTTAATAGAATTAAACTATTCTGCAGCATGTGTGTGTAAGTCGATTTCAAGATCCCCCTCCAGTTTCTCACGTGTGCATTTCTTAGGTAGTAATTTGCTGCCAGCAGAGATTCTTGGGCTATTCAGTATTGCCCTTTTATTTATACACCAATAGTCAGAATTATCAGACAGTAGGGAATTTCTAGGGTCCACATTCTTTATGAAATATCAATCTGACTCAGGAAAGGATTCTCCTAAAGTGGTTCCTGTTTCATTGGCTTTTTCATTCTATAATGATCATCCCTTCACTGTATAAACAATGGATTTCTTGTCTGGTTTGGGGATTGTTAATAGAATGGACTTTGAAGTTTTTTCCTTGATAAGGTTTAAATTCTTTTTAAAGGCCTCTCTTTAGTGAGATAGGCATGGAATGATGATGTAGAACATGGTTTGTTTTTTTTTTTTTTTTTTTTTTTTTTTTTCCACACCAATACTTGAGGCTTTGAACCCATCTGGATTCTGTGAGATGACCATGCTTGTTCACAAATCACCTCTATAAATACTGCGTATCAACAGTAGCTGTTGTCCTATCATGTGCTGGGCATTACACATATTATACCTTGCAAGTTGATACCAAAATTGTCTAATTTTTGTGTATGTGTAATCTAAGGTTTACAAAGTTTAGGACAGGCACTTTTTTGGTACTAAGAAACAGCCAAGGCTTGAACCCCAAACTTCTCTGCCAGGACAACACAAGTTCTAAAACACAGCTTTAGATTCAGGACTCCAGGGTATAACTTTATAATGTGGAGGGTGGAGCCAGTGCTGAGTGGCCACAAATTGCAGGAAAGTGAAGCTGACTGTAATTGAATAGAGAAAAGATTAGATGTTACTTCTTGTCCTGGAGCTGCTGTTGCGGTAAGTGACTTCATTTCACATTCTTGGTCTTGTGTGCCTTGGGGCGTTGCATGGAGGACATTTATATTTGGGAGGTAGCAGTTAAAATTAAGTAATTTGAGTTGTCTACACTGTACTCAGACTGTGCTGCACCCTGAGGACGCTTGGAGGGGTAGGTGGATGAGTTACAGGCATTGATTAGGGGACGGAGCGACCAACCGGCAGATTTGTGCCAGGCTTAGAAGCCTTGTCTGGGATGAAAAATTGACCGCTGGCAAATTGCTCTGTGTGAAGCTCTTCTGCTAGGCAAAGTTATATCTTCCTTGAGAGTAATCATTGCCAGCAATACTGTGAGGAACTGCTTTGTAAGAACGCTATGAAGGAAGGTGGAACTCGGTGAAACAGGAAAGTAAAAAAGAAAGAGTTTGATGAATAGGAAAATAGAAGGTGCTACTTTTTTTTTTTTGCCTTTGGAGAGAACGAAGAAATTAGAGTGCTGGCTGACCAGGGAGAGTGCTTTTTGGTGGGAGCCCTTGTGGGTGGAGCGAGCCTGACAAAGCCTAGGGGTTGAAGTTAGCTACAGTGAAGAGGAATAGGCCTTCCTCTTTTTATTTTTTATTTTTTTTTAATTTTAAAGAGAATTTAAAAAAAATAAAAAGATACAGAATTTCCTCTTTTTTTGTAAACCGAAGTTATTGGGCTGTAGAAGGCACATTTCTTCTGATCTCAGCCTTGCTAGATCCTAGTGTGTCCCGTGTTATTGTTTATAAGGTTGAAGAAAATGTGGGAACCAGGTTGTAAAAATTGCTGTTTTCTTTTTTTTAAGATGATAGTAGGATACTGCGGTTTGAACCCAGCTCCACCTGCCCCATCTCAACTTTAGGGCCAACCAAATAGCTCAGTGGATTAAAGCGCCTGTAAGCAGGCGCAGGGGCCAGGGGATTCGATCCTGGGCTTGCCATGCTGGCCCTACCCCCTGGGGTGAGCTGAGATGGCAATTGAGAGACTGGGTGTGGTGGTGCCTGCCTGTAATCACAGCTCTTGGAAGGCTGTAAACAGGCAGATCACTGTGAGTCTGATCTAGTAGTGAGACCCTGAACACCCTGTAGACCCTTCCCCAAAAATACCAAAAAAAAAAAAAGATGATAGTGATGACAGCAGCTGTGTCTGCTATCCAGTGTGGGTGAAGGGACCTAGTTGGCTCTGGAATTTGTTGAAAGTGGAAGTAGTAATTTGATAGAAGCATTTTGCAGTTGCTACTGAAAACAGTGAGGAAGATGGAAAAGCTGAAGATGTATGTATATTTTCTGAGTTGGGATAAGACTAGCAATTGTATGGGTGCACAAAATACAACTTGTGTTAGGTAAATGTCTATCAAATAGATTTTATTTGCTCAAAATCCTGAAGGAGTCCAACTCAGGGTTTCTTTGAATAATTGACTAGATATTTATCTCAACAGAATATTGTCGTAAGTGTTGGGGGTATTTAGTATGAAATTCAATCATTGACTGAGCAGCTGCTTGCAGGTTTTTTCTCTGGTGTTACTGCCTTGGTTTACTTTCTGTTTGGCGAGTGAGCCCTTTTCTTTGTCTTTTCCCTTTAGTTTTTCCTTCTAATTTCTAATTTTCTAATGTTTGCTTATCTCTTCAAGCAGGGAGCTTTTGAAACAACAGCATGAATTGGCCAGTTCTTGAGTCTTCTGTGCATAATCAGAATCAGCCATGGAAGCTGCGTATCTTACTCTACTTACAGTGTGGAAGACCAAAGGGAAGTTAAGGTCAAATCCCACTTCATTCCCATGTATTCCGGACTCACTGTCAGACATTAAATTGCTTCCGAAGTGGAAGGGACTATCTCTGTCAGTTTATACGCTTTTATACTACGAACCGTGACTCTTACTAGATGACCAAGGAAAGAGACATAAAGGATGACCATAATTTTCTCCTTCCTTGGGACTTGTGCTGCCAAGTTGTTGTAAATGAGTAGTAAATTGTTTTCTGAGTAGTTTAGTAGAAATTTCTTCAGTAGGAAATGCCTTCTATAATCTAGTTTATCACAATTGTTGCTTTTGACAAGAAGTATGTGTCTTTCGGGAGCTGAATGGGGACAGAGTAGTCTGTTATCCTCCTTTCTATGTGCATTTAGCTTATGCAGAAACAAAAAAACCCTTTTTTAGGTTATTTAAAATATCCTTATTCTACCACTCAAAGGGATAAGTTAGCTGGAAAACAGTATTTTATTTAGATTTTTTTTTAACATTTATTTATTGTGTGTGTGTGTGTGTGTGTGTGTGTGTGGCCAGCTCAGCCCACCAGGGGGTAGGGCTGGCTGGCATGTAGTGCTGGGGGATTGAACCACGGTCCCTGTGCTTTGCCAAGCTTGTTCCAAGTAGGTGCTTTAGACCACTGAGCCATCTCTCCAGCCCATCAACAAACAGTATTTTAGAAGGGCCATTTGTAAAGAAGTTGTTAGAATAAGGTGAAAGGCTTTTGTATAGACTTAAAATTGTCCGTTTTTCAGCAGGTGAGTGTGGTAGCTTTCAATCAAGATTGCGCATAAAGGAATACTAAGTATGACTGTATCTTTAAGACTTTCTGTCATTTTTTTGTGCGCAAAGGAAGCATCCATCTGGCTCCAGTTTTGCTAACAATTTCCTTTTTTGCTGAACAAATATTTATTGGTCATCTGCAGCCTGTCGTGCTTGCTAGGTAATGGAGAAACTAGAAAAGTATTTTTATGGCTCATGGAAGAGTCAGACTGAAGTAAACAAGAAATAAACATGATAGATACATATAGGATATTGATTTCACACAGGGGACTAGACCAGAGTTGGGAGTAAGAGCAGGGTGGTTCCTTGAATAGTGTGTTTAGGAGAGAATTTTCCCCATTTTCTCAGAAGATGCACTTGCGCTGACAGCTGATGGACATGCAAGGGCCAAACACAAACAGAATGTGTTTTGGGCAGAAGGAACAGCAAGTGCTAAGGCCTGAAGTTTCCTTTGGTGGTCATACTTTCAGTGTTTTTATAACTTCTATTTCTTCAGGTTTAGTATTTTATATAAATTGTATGTGTTTAACTTGAGTTATTATGTAATATACCTGTGTAAGGA